GAGCGGCTTCGTGACATCGTGCGCTTCGGCGTCCCCTTGGGCGGACGGGCACGGCAACATTCGGTTGTCAGAGCAGGAGGATCCGCTCCGATGACCGTAGCTTGTCCACTCCCCGTTACGATCGTCTTCGCCTGAGAGGTTCTTTGCCACGGACTTCTCTCATGGGCTCGCGCACTTCAGTTCATCACTGGAGCTGTAGCGGTTGAATCCCTCGCGCTCGCGCGACCGGAATGGCACTCACCCAAACGTCGCCGCTCTCCGGAGCGGCTTCGTGACATCGTGCGCTTCGGCGTCCCCTTGGGCGGACGGGCACGGCAACATTCGATCGCCACGAGCAGGAGGATCCGCTCTGGTGATTGTAGTTTGTCCCCTCCCTGTTACGATCGTCTTCTACGCCTGAGGTGTCGATGGACCTGGACATCTCTTTGGGCGCGCGCGGCCTCGTCTCCCTAAGTCCGTTCACACTGGCAGGAGGTGCGACTGTAGCGGTGACTTCGGGCGCCATTTCGCGCTAGAGTGCTCTTGGTCTAGAGGGCGTCAGGCCTTCAGATTGTGGTCGCAAGCTATAGTCGGTTTAGCTCTTCCACCGGCAAGATCTACGCAACGCCATCCGGTGAGTACTCGACGCATGGTACAGCATCTTGGACTGAATCGCTATTAGACTTCTCGTGCCTCGCAACCTCCGCCCGCTTCACATCACTATCCGTACTCGTCCACATGGCTGTGTTCTTGTACTTCTTATGTCTTCCCACTTGCTTACATATGAATGAATTGTACATGCTCGGCCGCCTCTATCATCGCGTGAACATCTCGCTCTTTCTTCATCTGGATTCGCCGTCGAAGTTGCGCGCGCCTGTCATATTGCGGCCTAACTCTCGCTTTGGAGCTGCAGTGATGGGATTAGGCGTACGAGGATATGTTCGTGCACATAGGGCCAGCTGAGCTTTGCACGATCGTTTCCTACGCGTCATACTATGAGCTCATTGTACTCAGATCTCGGCGGGCGCAAACCCTTCTCTTTGCAATCGCGCCTGTACGGAAGACTCCCCGACTACCCTTCTTTGACTAGAAGGCCCTCGGTTATCCGGTAATGACCACAGCCTGTCAAGGTGTGCATGCAAGTGTGATTGACAACTCGGCTTGACGCGGATCTCGCGTAGATCGTGCTCTAGTCCTCGGTGTTCCAATTGCAGCGTCAACAGGCTCAGAGTCGAGTCGAGGGTTGATTGAGACCACTGAGCGGAGCAGCGACGCAGCTAGACAGAACTGTTTGTTTCACAGATACTCGATCTTGCTAGATCGTATACCGATCACAGTGAGGACTATCTCATCTCTCACCCAGGACCACCGGCCCGCGCCGCCCGCAAGTGCTGTCCGCCTCGAGGCGTTCCTTCGACCCTCTTCTCCACATTCTCGGCGAGCGCTCCCCGTCATAGAACACTCTCGACCTCGTTCCGGGGCTTGACGGGGGCGTCAAAGCGGATTCAAGCCACACGAGCCTCGCGCGCCGCACACGAGGTTTGATTCTGTGATTATCCCACCCATCGCAGGGAAAGGAAGGTAACAAACAAGGTAAATCTTGCGCGCCGCGTAGCCCGAATACGTGCCCAGATCCTCCTTCGACTTCGCAATGCACCCGTAAAGAGGCACGGCGCTGTGTTCATGGGAACCGCTGACTGTCTGACTGGAGTGAAAGAAGGTCTGTATGCACTGTACGGCCGGTATACACGCCCTTTTCGTGCGCGCTAGCCTCATGCCTCATGCCGACCGACGTCAACGGCCACGGCCACGGCCACACACGATAGACCCGGTCCTGATCCTGGTCCTTTCATTCAAAAAGATTGCTCTTGTGTAGACCCTGAAGGTGATCGTCCCTTCAAAAGCGAGGCGCTCGGCGTGCTTTGGGCTCTCCCCTCCCTTCGGGCTTTCCTCCCCTTTCATCTGCGCCACATCCCCTCTCTTCTTCCTTACGCCCTCTTCCTTACGATCTTACGATACGAATCAAATCAAAGAATGGTGGCACTTCCAGACTCCGAGCAGCAGCCTCCCACGCCCGTTCGCGTGCAGTTTGTCACGGAGACGATCTTCGAAGGGCCAACTGCTACTCCGTCAAGCAGCTCAAAAGCGACGCATGACACGCCCGTACCGATCTCTGCTATCGTAGGTGGTGCGGCTGCTGGTGTTGCTCTTGCTTTGGCGGTCGTGCTTGCGTGGACGTGGTGGGGCAGATGCATTCACCGCCGACAGGCTAAAGCGCGGAAAGAGATGGTGCGTGTCTCGTCGGCACTTTTTGCAGCGTCATAGACGATCTGGATCTCAATGTGAATTGGCCGTATAGCGCGAGCTCCTTGCTGTACGCGAGAATACGCGACGTAACGCAGGAGCGTATCTCGTCCCCGCCAACGAGCGGTACATGAGCCCTCCACCAAAGCGATCCCGACACAAACGTAAGATCCGGTTCGCGGGCACGCCGTCTCTCGACCAACAAAGCGTGCTGAGCGAGAAGAGCGAGAAGGAACCTTTGCGCTCTGCTTCCCCTGCGCCCGGTATGGATTCGGAGTACGAGAAGGCATTGCCTAGCCCGCCTCTGCCTACGCTCGCATCGTCACCCGAACCACCTTCGCCGCAACGCCACTTCCTCTCTCGCGTCCCACGTACACCATGGGGTACGTCAGTCCTGCCATCCTCTGGGCCCGTCATCATGCCTCGACCCAAAGTCGCGCGGCCCGAGGCGATCACCGAGAAGGTGCCGTCGAACGAGACATGGGAAGACTCTTCAGCACCTCAAATGTCGAGAACGAGCTCGACTGTGGCCGTGGAGACTGCTGGTGGGAACGGACGGCAGATACGGCATATGCCTAGCGCGGTCAGTTCGGATTCGGCGTATTCGACACAGAGCGGAGAGCCGAGACGGCAGAGGGAGCGTGGGGTATTGTGGGCGCTTAGGCAGCAGCTGGATGTGAACCGGCTCAGTGCGTTCAGCATTGGATCGTTGTACTCTGTCGATGAGAGGGAGAACGCGGAGGAGAGGTGATTGGACACTGGACTATGACTTGCATGATCGACGATCGTTACGCCTCTCATGCTTGACGGACACTTATCACGCCACACCATTACCAAAACTCATTATTGGGCTGTTTATTGGACTCTTCATGTTGTTCTGACGAACCATTCTAATTGTTGCATCTTGCTTGTCTTGCGGCTCGGATGTACTTACTTACTCATTTGTTGCCTTTGGTTTTGGTTGGGACTCTCGTGTCGCACATTGACTGAAAGATGTAGCTGTAGTGGGTGGATGTCTAGGCAGAAGTGGAATATAATAGGTGTGAAGGCTGCTACCGCAAAGAGGCGACGTATTTCTGGGGTGAGATGTCAGTTCATGTCGGTAGGACAGTAATAATATTCGACGCACATGCTCGACGTCTGCAACGGCAGAGTGGAACTCCTCAACTTCCCTCCAGCAATCGAGCGTCGTCCTTGGATGTGACCTGCATAACAGGTCAGGTACTATTCAGCGCGAATTACTCGCAGAACGCACGTGTAGCACTCGACGACGGCCTCACTCTTAGCCTTAAGCTCGGGATGCTCCGCCAGCTCTCTCCTGTTGTTGTACCGCTCCACCTTCTGCCTAATCTCCTCCAAATCCTCCATCAACACAGCCGAGCTCTTGACGTCGCCCGCACCCGGCTCGTCCGACGCGCCGGCCATCGAACGCTCACGGTCCAGGTTCTCGCGCTCGAGTGCAGCCTCAATCTCGCGCTGGACAGTCTCCTCCTCCTCTTTTAGTCGGGCAACGTCCGCATCAATGCGTGCGCGCACTGCGCTGTCTAGTAATGACTGGCGCGCGGGTGGGACATCGGAGGACTCGGACTTGTCTGCCAGTTTGCTGACGAGCTCCCCGGAAATCTATATGCTTATTTAATATAGGTTAGGAATCATATATGGTGATACGCACCTGAATAGGTACTTCATTGTAGAAGACCTTCTCGTCTGGCTCCTCTGTCCGAGATTGTGACGCGCCCATGGCGGAGGTTCAAGTGAAGGTGCAGGCGCGTCGCGCGCGCTTCGGAGAAACACGGTCACAGGCCAACCTCCAACTATCACACGCCCTGTGAAGTACTGTAGACTACCTATGACGACCACATCATGTCTCTATCTGGCCTCTGGGGCGCGCTGTGATTGACCTTCAAGCACTTGTATCTCGCGCCTATACGAATCCATTCGAACATCAGGCATCACGCTTATTTATCACGCGGCTCCCTAGTGGCCAATAGCGAGTGACGTCAAGAAGTTAGACTCTTTCTCCAGCAACCATCATGGCCGTGGCCCTGTACGCCTCTGCGGCGTCCTCGACACTGTTCAGGCTCATCAGCTATGTCTTCTTACGAGTGGTATGTCCTGGGAGTAGTCATTGCCCGAGTTCACAAGCTCATTGCATGACGAACAGATTCCCGCGACGTTTTGCAAATTCCTGCTGCCTGCGCTTTATGTCCTGTATGCCTTACCAGCGCTGTTTATCTCGACCGCGCCACCTGTTCCCCCGAAAGAAGAGAAGAAAGTCGAGGAGAAGAAGGAGGTCGTCAAGGCAAATGGCAGCACGCCTGCACCTGCAGTATGTCGCGCTCCTTCCAGCCGTGTATGTGTGTGCTCACATCGCCACAGCCCAAACAGGAACCCGACTTGTTTTGGAATCTCCTATTATCCTTCTCCGCGACACCCCTCACGAAAAAGGTTAACTTTGGGATCAACACTCTGCTGCTACTCGCCGGTGTACACATGGTGCTCCAACCCGTGCTCGACCCCGCACACGACGTGATCTTCTCCCGCATCGGTGCCGTCTCGCCTGATTCGGCCAAGATCGTCGTGCGTTTCCCGAATACGACCTCCAACGCGACGGAGTCTTCCTTGCAGTTGTTATGGAGGAAGGTGCCGGAGACGACGCTTTCGGGCGCTCCTAGCGTTGCTCCATGGCAGAGCGGACCTAAACTCGAATTGACGGATGACGCCGACTGGACCGGCACCGCACAGATTCGCGGTCTATGGCCTAACACCCAATATGAATGTCAGTGTGCATGATATATTGAAGTATGCGATAATGCTCACGTATCTTCAGACGCTCTCGCCGACACGAACAAGACCCTACTCGACTACCCCGCGACACCCCTCCGCTTCCGCACCTTCCCAGACCCCAGAATCCCCGGCGGCTCTCACTTCCGCTTCTTGGCTACCTCCTGTGTTACACCCAACTTCCCCTACGTCCCTTTCCAAGGTCGCACCATCAAGGGATTCGACTACATGGCCGTATACCTCGCCGGCACACCCAAGAAACCCACTGCCGTCCCCGGCTACGCATCACCCTTCGCCGGCGCGCAGAAGCCCGCTGAAGAGCCGTCTCCCGAGGATGCTTCTGCTGAGTCTGTTCTCGACGAGCATAGCGACTATCTGCCGGTCGTTGGGGGCCAAGGTCTGACCGAGGACGTCGTTGAGGAGTTCATCGAGCCCCCGCGCAACGAGTTCTTGATCTTCCTCGGCGACTTCATCTACGCGGATGTGCCGTATTACTTCGGCGCCAGCCTCGAGGCCTACCGTCGCCTATACAGGCGCAACTACCAAAGCCCCAGCTTCCGCAAAGTCTACGAGCAGCTCCGTACGTCCTCTCCACCCTACCCTTGCGCAGGATCAGAATCACTAACAATTCTAACGCAGCCATCTTCCATGCCTACGACGACCACGAGATCTTCGACAACTACGCTGGAAAGGAGAACGATTCCTGGCCCTACCCCCCAGCCTCCGACGCATTCGGCATCTACGCTTCAAACGCCAACCCCGATCCTCGCGTGCCCGGCACGCAGTACTACGACTTCCGCTACGGCGACATCGCCTACTTCGTCCTCGACACCCGCCGCTACCGCTCAGGCGCGGACGTACCGATCGAAGAACGAAGCATGCTCGGCGACGCGCAGCTCGCTTCCTTACACGAATGGCTCGCAAAGGCAAATCAGACCGCAACTTTCAAGTTCATCGTGTCAAGTTGCCCGTTTACGAGTCTTTGGAGGGTGGACGCACAGATCGACTCATGGGCAGCGTATGCGAACGAGAAGGCCGCGCTGCTCGAAGTCCTGCACACCGTTCCCAACGTATTCATCATCTCCGGCGACCGCCACGAGTTTGCTCAAATCGCGTTCAACCCCGAAAACCCGACCCTACACACGGTCTATGAGATCAGCACGAGCCCGCTGAACATGTTCTATATCCCCCTGATTCACACGTTGAAGAGCGAGAGCGAGTGGACGGTGAGAAGGACCAGCACGTTTGAGGTGCCGAGTGATGTGAAGGGTGAGGTTAAGACGGAGGAGGTTGAGATTGAAATTCCTGCGGAGAAGGTCGAAAAGTACTTGCCGAATGGGAATCACAAGTGGTGTGTAATGTTCACCATAGTGATTGACCCTTATGCTGACGGCCGATACAGGGCGACGTTTGAAGTTGACACGACCAATGCACAAAGCCCGACGTTGAAGCTCGACGTACACATCGACGGCAAAGTGGCCTACGAGCACACATTTGCCGGTACTCCCGTCAAGCTGCGCTCCTCGAGCACCACGCTTTCCACCGTCACAGACGGACTGCGCGACATCCTCGGCCGCGTCGGGTTCAACCCATCCTCATGGTTCTAGACACCCTATACTCGTGCGCTGCTATGACAGGACAGGAAGGATATGCTTGTGCGAGACCCATATACTATACTTTGACTCTTGTATTGTTAGCTCCGACTCCGCGAACGCTTCCGTGCTCAGATTGACGAACGATGTATGTAGAAATGCTTGCTTAATAAACAGCGGAGAATAGCGACACCCTATATGATACCCCATCTCTTCCTACCTCTCCTCTTCATCATCGCCATCCCGCCTCTCATCAGGCTTGCGCGAAAACCTCTCCTGGATCTTCGCATAATGCGCCATCTCAGCCGCCGACACACTCGGCTGCAACTCATCAAGCGCCGCGTCGAAGTCCTCCTGCGATACCTGCACCTCAACATCCTCAGGCCCCGCCATCTCACTCAAAAAGTACTGCGGTGTAAGCGGGAACGGATGGCCCGGTATCGCCTCTCCGCTCGCGTTGATCTTTGCGAGTTTGGCATCGACTTGGCCGGCGGTGCGCGTCATGGCTTTGAGGAGAGCGTCGGTGCATAGAGCGTAGAAGTCTGCGCCTGTGAAGTTGAAGGGGCAGCGCTCGGCTACTTGGGACAGGTCGAGTGTGGGCGAGAGTTTGAAGCGCCGTGTGAGGGCTTGGAGGATGCGGAGTTGTGCGAGGTGGGTATCGCTGACGCCGAGGTACAGCATACGATCGAACCTGGAGCATTCTATCAGCATGCTATTCTGCGCCAACAGGCATCGCACATACCGCCCAGGCCGTAATAGCGCAGGATCCAACAGATCCGGCCTATTGGTAGCCCCAATAACAAACACATCCCCGCCCTTCCCCGACGCAATCCCATCAAGCTCCGCCAACAACTGGGACACGATCCTATCCATCACACCCCCCGAATCCCCATGCGCGCCCCTCTTCGGCGCAACACTGTCCAGCTCGTCGAAGAACACCACACACGGCCGCGCGTCCCGCGCTCTCTGGAACACGCGCCGCACGTTCGCCTCGCTCTCGCCGATGTACATGTTCAAGAGCTCGGGTCCTTTGACGCTGAAGAAGTTCAGACTGAAGCTCGTCGCAACGGCTTTGGCGAGTAACGTCTTGCCGGTGCCGGGCGGGCCGTATAGTAAGATACCCGACCGTTTCTTGAGATCGCTCGCGAACAGATCAGGGCGCTCAAGGGGGAGCTGGATCGTATCGAGTATATCCGCCTTCACGGATCCGAGACCACCGACGTCGTCCCATGATACGTTCGGGATCTTGGGTGCGCCGATGTTCGCGCTGTAGGCTGAGCGGGCAGAGTCGAGCGCGAGGTCGAAGTCGGATTGGGTGAGTGCGAGGCCGGCGGAGAAGATGGAAGTGGGTGTGTGGATAGCATCGCTAAAGGTCGTGTCAGAAGGAGGATGACAGTGGAGTATGGAGGGTAGGGAACGCACGTTGAGGTGCTTGCTCGGGCTATAGCGGCCATGTCTGTGCGGTTAATCAGCGATACAAGGTCGCCAGCGACGAAAGCGGCCGTCTTCCTCGCCAAATCTGGAATGGACACATCTGGCGCCAGAGTCCTCGTCGCGAGCAACGAAGACAAGATGGCCGCGCGCTCATTCTCGTCAGGAGCCTACGAAGTACAACTATTAGCAAAGAGCCTTGACAATATAGAAGACGAGATCCTCACGTTGAACTCCACTTCATGCTTGAAGCAGTTCAACAATCCCGACGGTACACGTCCGTGTTCCGCAGTGGTCCCAAAGACGAGGATAGGGTATCCCGAAAGTCGCCAAGACCCGGCAAAGTCGGCTAACAAGTCCTTCAGGACGTTCACGATGGCAGGTTCTGCATGTACTTCAGTATCAGGCGTAGACATAACGACGAAGGATGCGTACCATTTCCCGGTTCCGGTGCCTGCGTACTCTGCGCAAACGCATCCAGATTCCTCAGGATAAGCGCGCACGGTGAACACGACGCGACCTGCTCGAACCGCGCGCGGAGTATGCCCTCCGTCTTCGCATCCGTATCACCTAGCAGATCATAGCAGTTGAGCTAGCACGCCCTCATCAGTACCTCGCACACTCCTCCAGAACAGAATCAGCAGCCGAACCTCGTACGGATGAAGCCCCAGCCGCCTCGCGATCTCCAAAACCGTCGTCGCCTTCCCTATCCCCCTCGCTCCCTTCAACAGGAACGACACGGGTAAGTCGTACGACAGCGCATTCTTGACCAACGCAGCCGATGCGAGCGCATACATTTGCACATACGCGAGCGCGTTGTTCCGCGCTCCGCCTTCGCCACTGCGAGCAATGTTAAGTCCTGCCCTCTACTTCAGCAAGAGGCCACTGATGAAGAGTGCTCGGAGCTACACTGACCCATGTACGCAGCAGCATCCGGCACCCTCGCATGTTCAACGCCAGTCTGCACCATCCTCGTCTCCTGAACATCCACCCAACACCCCAGCTCTCCGGACCCGTACCCAACGCTCAACTCCGAGTATCCGTTCGCGTGTCCGTTCAGCTGCGAGCGGCAGTCTACGTTCGTGACGGCGAAGTAGACCAGTTCTTCCGCGTTCGAATTAGCACTGGACCTGTGTGTAGGGTGAGATCAAGAGTGTGCTGTTCGGATGGGGTAGATTGCACATACCCTGCTGCGCTGTTCAAGTGTTCGCCATCCGGCAACGCACTCAACAAATGCGCCCTCTGCAGATCCACCCTAACCACAATCAAATCTCCCTGCCGCACCAATCTCCTCCCGGAACTGAAGTGCGCCTTCAACGCATCCAGTACGAGCGGCTGGTACAGTTTGTTGACAGACACTTTCGACGCGACGCGCGCGATGGTCACTGATTGCGCGGTGGGGAGGGTGCGCGTGCGCAGGCTTGAAGGGAGGGGTTGGAGGTAGACTTTTGGAGGGCGGGAGGGGTGTTTGAGGAGGTTGTGGAGGAGGATTGGGGATGCGCGGAGGGTTCCGCTGTAAAACGCGCATTAGACTTGTGCGTATATAACTGGATGCGGCTTGGCACGTACACTACAGGCGCAACATCGTCGCACGCGCGAACAGAGACTACACGGCCGGAGGAGGACGACTCTGCCCGCAAGATCGCCTGTCACGGTGCATTAGTCTCAGCCGCGATCAAACTCAAGCACCAGCTCACCCAATCCGCATCCAACAGCCCCAACCTCGACAGATCAACAGTCCTGATGTATACCGTATGTCCATCCTCCTCAAACGCTATAGGCGCCCTCAGCGGTTCGACCTCAAACCCGACCACCCTCGGCGACGCAGCACCCCCAACTCCGTCAACCTGGCCGGATAATGGCGCTTCAAGCAACGAGCTCGACAAGAAGTTCTCGTCAATCTCAAAGTCTCCTTCCGCAGACAATTCTTCGGTGCTAGGTGTCGATAATCCAGATGGTAGAGGCTCGGCGTGGCCGTTGGCGCTTCCGTTCGCGAGGGGTTCTTCGCGTGGAGGAGGGAGAAGGACGAATGATGTTGAGCCGTATCGCGCGACGCCTTGCAAGACGGGGTCCGTCATGAGGATGCGGTACTTAAACACCGCATCATCCTGCGTAGCTGCCGACCCTGCAAGTTCGGGCGCGGGTACAGCGTAGCTAGACTGCTGCCTCAACACCCTTTCATCGCGGCATAGCCACTCTTCGAACGCGTCGGTGTCGGGTGTTGCGGCTGTATATGCGGACGTTGTGTGCGCTTGTACTATGACTTCCTTGAGCGTGATGAGGGTGACGGGTGTCAGGGTGTGCGAGGGTCCGTTTGTGGAAGAGAGGGAGGAGAGTGAGCTGAAGACGCGGTCGTGGCGTTTGAGCCATTCGGACGGGACTACGAGCCCTTCTTCCTGTATCGTACAGCATCAGAGTCATATACTCGTGCTATGTGCGCGCAGTGACGCACCTCTCCGAGTCTGGCCCAGCATACCACAGACAACAGAGGAGACGCCGGAGGCCGCGAAGCAGCAGCCCAAGCCGAACTCAGAGGCGAGATGGACACAGCGACTCTACCCGCATCCAGTTCACTGTCCGTACTCCGCAATCTATCCCATAGCTCTTTCCCAACGAGCACTGTATCAGGTTGCGCGAGCTCCTCGGACGACTTGAACGACACCGAAGTCAACGCGTTGACCATAGCAGACCCAGCCCAGTGCCAATCTCTACCCGGTACGGCGTCTAAACAGCCCAAGTGGTGGTCCAAGTACAAGGTGTAATGAGATGCCCATCATGGTTCGCTTGTGATATACAGCAACGCGAAGTTACCGGGCGTGGCGCGCGCCCGCACGCGCTCGACGCGAAATCGGCAACTCGCGACTTGCTTTTTACGCTCTCCCCGCTCTTCCGCTCTAAAACACGCGCCTCGGGCCCGTGCACCTCTCAACGCACCCCCATCAATCGCGCAGAGGTCTTGAAATAATGTCATACGGAGGAGGACGTGGAGGACGTGGAGGAGGAAGGGGAGGAGGGTTTGGTGGACGCGGGGGAGGTACGGCTGCTTTGAATTTTACTGGTCGCATGGTGCTAAACCTATACAGGTCGTGGAGGATTCCAAAGACAGGACTTCGGCCCTCCCGATACCGTCCTCGGTGCGCACATTTCTTTCCCACACAGGACACACTCTGACAGTCCTCACAGAGATGGGCACCTTCGTGCACGCCGTCGAAGACGAAATGCTCTGCACATCCCTAATGCCCGACAAAGTCCCCTACTTCAACGCGCCCATCTACCTCCAAAACAAATCCGTCATCGGAAAGGTGGACGAGATCCTCGGCCCCATCAACGAGGTCTACTTCTCCGTCAAGATGGGCGAGGGCATGGTCGCGAGCAGCTTCAAGAAGGGCGACAAGGTCTATATCGGCGGGGACAAGCTGTTGCCTATCGAGAGGTTTTTGCCGAAGCCGAAGGTTGTGGGCGGTACGTCTTACAAATCTATACGTGTATGGTACAAAGCTAACACGATTCTACAGGTGTTAGTGAGTGGCGACTATCGCGTATCTTTGACCCCTTCTCATATTCTCTACAGAAAAGCGCGGACGCGGCGGCGCAGGTGGTGCACGCGGCCGCGGCGCACCAGGCGGTCGCGGCGGCTTCGGTGGTGGCCGTGGAGGCAGCCGTGGCGGTTTCTCTCGCGGTGGAGGCCGCGGTGGATTCGGCGGAGATCGGGGTCGCGGTGGAGGCGGTCGCGGTGGGGGCTTCTCAAGAGGCGGCGGACGCGGCGGCGGAGACCGTGGTTACCGCGGACGGGGCAGGGGCGCATAGGCTGTATCCGTGTTGTAGGGTTGTTGTATTGTGCTGTATATCATTTCTTGCGCGATTTTAGGTCTTTCTCGACCGAGAGCGCGCGCTCCATTCGTTCGCGCTCTTTGGCAACGGAGGTTTGGAGCTCTTCGGCTAGGGCGGAGGATTTGGAGATGGATTTTGCGGCTTCTTTGAGCGAGCGTTCTGAACGTGATGAAATCAGTCTTGATGGTTGGCGGCAATAAAGGATGAGAAGAGGTACCGTCGAGTGCGTTGTCCTCGGGGACCCAATCATCTTCCTCGTCAAGATCATGGTCCTTCTCAGCGGCCACCCTCCGCTGCCTCAACATGTCAGAAACCATCCCTTCAATCTCACGCGGCCGTGCGCGCCGCTTCTTCGCGAGGTCGAGGTCGCGGGTGATACGCTCTGTGTGCAGAGCCCAGATCTTCTTGTCGAGCGCTTCGTCAAAAGGCTCGTCGTCTGTGTAGTAGTAGAGTCAAAATAGTGTGTTATGTACAGGCAGCAAAGGAACATACCTTCTTTGGAAGGGTCCAGCTCGTCGAGATTATGCCCGTTCGCACGGATATTCTTCTCAGCGAGCGAGTAGCTACCATCCAGAAACTATATACTCCACATCAACCACCGCGGTTGAGGAGTCAGAGAGTACCACGTACATCCTGTATCGCAGCCCTCATCTCCCTCACCGTCTTCTCATCCGCGTCGTCACCCAGCCTTGACTCCAGGATGGACATAGCGAACTCAGAGACGTTCGTCTTGATCTGGCGCCAGTCGGAGAGGGTGTCGACGGATACGCGCGGCGGGTATTCTTCGCGTTGTTGTTCCATGGCAGCTGGGTTGAGATATAAAAAAGATGGGAGGGGCAGGCGGAGAGAGATATGGTAGGATGTGTGGGTGGAAGGAAGAGGCAAGTGGCGTGAGCGCGTCAAGGCCGCGGCAAGTTCAACATCGGTGGCACGCGCGCCGGTCGCGCGCCTTGACCGGAACCATCACCTTCCTCGTTTCCCGCCTTGTGTAGCCTTGAGACCCAGAATTACTTCACAGCGATGATAGTACCAATCATATACTCTCTTTGACTGTAACAGGGGGCGAAATCAGTATTGAGCCGTGTTAGAGTCGGTAATGATCTTATCCCGATTCTCTCGTAGAAGCACGAGAGTGCAGATCACCGCTACCCCCATTCATCTTTCGTCTGACACGACCATCGCGCTTGCACCCGGCTTCAAGGTGACGCTCTTTTAGTGCGCTGCAATTCAGGAGGAGCTTGACGGCTCGCATAGTCTGCTGCGGCCGATGAACGGCGCTATTCGCGCCGCGAGAGAGCACAACGCTCGAGCGCCAATCAACCGCAGTCTCTCGAACGAGCTCCTCTGCGCCGTGTTCATCGCGCTGTCCCAACTAGATTCGCCCTCTATGGCTCGCCCGCAGGGCTGGTACCCACAAGTGACCGGCGTCTGCCATCTCTGGCGCGAGGTCGCCCTGCACGTCGTCGAACTATGGGCAGATTGCGTCGGCGCTTTCCCCTCCGAGCGCATAACGAATCTCGTATTGGAACGCGCCGGCATGGCCGCTGATCTCAGTTTCAGCGGATGCCGCGAAGATCAGGCTGGCACGAGTCGTGTTCTGACCGACTACCAGCTATCGCTGATCGAAGTATATGTTGGGAGAGTGCGTTCGCTCGTGCATGACGAGTTCACCGACTGGAGAGAGCTGTTTCGTCGCGCGCAGACGTTCCCGAGGCTGCAGACGGCCAGGATATGGGATGATTCTGGGTCTGATGGGTGGGCTGAACTCATCAGTGCTCCTTGTCTGCGCGATCTCTACATGAACAATGTGCTCATACCCTTTGACGCGTCCGCTCTACGCTATTTGCGGGTGGACATGGATAACCCAGACTATCGTCTTTGCCGAGACGTATACGCTTACGAAGAGCCAGAACCGGATGAAGCTCTCCCGGGGACGTTTCCTACTCGCGAGTTCATCGCCTTCTTCCAGCGCTCGCCGCGTTTAGAACACGTCGTCATCAAGGATATGCCTCAGCTGCTCGCTGATGATCTGCCCTCTGCCTTCAAACTACATGCAGACCTTCCCCACTTGCACACGCTGCATCTTGGGGGGAAGTCACTAGCGCTCGGGGATCTATTGCAAAGGATGAACATACCGTCGGGTGCCCAGATTTTCGTCGACACAGACTACCTCGATGGCTCGGACGATATGGACCCCTTACTGTTGGATGCAGTACATCTTCGCATCGTCTCAGCAGAATACGACAGTTTCAGACTCGGGATGACCCCCTCATTCGATCTCATGCTGCAAGTCTGGTCCTCGGGGGAGCGCGACACGCTCAACGGTCTCGACTTGGAATCATCGCTCGAGATGACAGATAGCGCAAGAGGACCGGCCTTTACGCTCAGGCTCCCGGTCGGGACACGTCAAATGCTGGACGATTATATGTCGGGCAGACCGCTTGCCCATAGTAGAGACCGGCTAGGCTCTGCCCCCGAAGATCCCGGTCTCGCTCGGGACTTCTACCCTCGAGCGAGCAGAGCTGTAGATGACAACCTATCCAACCTTGCGCTCAATCGATTCGATTTCACCGATATGCCCTTCGTGGTGAATTACGAGATGGAAGACTGGTTCCTCCATCGATACATGGCATTTCTCATCGGCGGCTTCGTGAACTGGAAACTGCGTGCACGCCAACGTACGCTGAGCTGGTCGCTCCTGAAACAAATGCCCATCAATTCACGCGCAGGCTTTCTGGCAGGCCAGGTGGAGGAAGTAGTGCTTGTGAACTTCCCCTGCGCGGCGTTCCCGAGTCAGAAACGATACGATCGGGAGGTGAATGAGGAGGCTTGGGATATGCTTTGCGAGTGGCTGGAGAATCGGGAGGCGAGGTTCGATGATGATCCGCCGCCGTTTTCTTTCAAGTTGGCGGAGTCGGATTCGGTTGTGTCGACGTGGGAGCGCTCTGAGGAACCGGAGTACGTGCATACGATTAGGGGGTCGTATGAGGATGCTGTGATAGAGGCCAATGGGAGAGGTTACCAACGCGTTCGCGAGCTCGTGACTAGCTTCGAAGACTTGAGGATGAACACTTGGTCTTGAATGTGCAGTGCTTGTCTGGTGTTTACAATGTGCTGCACTTCATGTATATCACGATTGCGTAAAGTATCAAGCCCTTTAAGCGCTGGGCTATCATCTTTAGGAATAAGCGCCAGTACGTAGTACATATTGCAACCCAACGACCGCCGGTTGGGTCTGGACTAGAAGAACCCTTCTGGTGAGCGTACCAAGCCCAATCACGCAGAGAGTAAGCGCTCTATGAGCCACCCGACCTCCAATTCCTAGACTGTAGGCGTACAGGGTGCATGAGGGCACTCCATGACCAATGGTGGGGAGAGGCAACTGATTTGCCGTCGTGCGTCGGCCGCTCGCACGGCTGCGGCACTCGCGCTTTGATCGATGATCGTTCGCCGCACACGCATCTTGAGCAGACCACCACCACCACCACCACCACCACGACGTTGTCGTCTAGTCTCCCTCCCTGCGGTACCTTACGCTCTATGATGATGGAGCATACGATAGACGTGGGCTTACCTCAGCAAGCCCCGGCTCCCAACGAAGATTGCCCTGTCTTTCAGCTACCGAATGAGTTGCTCGTCCATATAGTCGAGGCGCTGCCAGCTCCTGTGTTTCATGGCCGGCGCTTCAATGGAGCATCATACCCAGCCTTTGCGCTTTCGCACACGTGCAGATTGTGGCGGTGTATCGTGATGGCTTACCCGCGATGCTGGCGCTGGATCCCGTGCACCAATTCCCACTGGCTCGCCGAAGGGCTTCGTCGCTCAGAGGGCGCACTCCTGCGCGTCCACTTTGATCTCAACTACTCTTGGAACTCTCCGGCGCCAGACTTGACCGGATTGTCAGAGCAGGCTTCGAGGATCGAAGCCGTTATCATGGGCGATCGTCACGGCGGGCCTCCGCCTTTCGAATGGGAGACTTTCAGTACCACCGGAGTGCTATTGAGATTTTTGAGAGATAACGAGTTCCCCGCTATGCGGGAGCTCATTCTGGCGCAATGGAAGAACCGTCGCCATATAATAGATCTACCCCCCATTTTCTTGGACAATACAACTCCCCTTCTGGAGCATGTTTTCATCTCCGATACAAATCTTAGACCTGGGCAAGCGTTTCTACAGTCGCCGCTCACGCATTTTGAAATGGCCAGGGGATCTCCGGGAAGGTCGTTAAACGATATTGCTGAATTCTTCAAATCCGTACCGCGGTTGGAGGTGTTCATCGCTCATCATCGGGTCTGGCTATCCGACGCACGTCTCTTGGAGACGACCACCCATCATCCTCACAGCATACCTCTCCCTTACTTGCGACAACTGAGATGCGAAGGTGCTTTTGAAGGCGGACTTGCCATTCTCAACCTGCTCGCGCTTTCAACGCGTTGCTCGGCGAGCATCGCGAATTGGAACCCATATGAGTTTCGGTGGAATCGCAAGACAGACTGGTCCGTGGCGCTTGACATTCTGTCAGCCCATCTTTCGGCCGTTCCTGCCGCCGCGATGTCTCATTCGGCTTCGCATATTGAGCTCATGTACCGGCGTCTCGAGGGTGACACGTCCCCGAACGAGGCTGCCTTGAGCATGCACTATGTTCCAGAGTCCTCCAATGCCGAAATTGTATCATTCAGAATCAGGCTATACGCCAAGGATGAGGATGATGCACGTTCATTCTACACCTCCACTCTCCGAACCCACCTCGCTCCGCATCTCTTTGGTGCCACGCACACACTCCGTGTCGAGTTTGCGAACCCCGACTATACGAACCCAGCGGACGATCTATGGTCAAGTCTGACCGAAATGTCAGCTATCAGGGCGTTGAAATTGGCCGGTGATGCTGGCACACTACTCTCGAAACTTGACATACCCGACCACTCGCTGCGCGAGACACTGCCAGACTTACGACTTCTCACCCTGAGCCGATTCGACTTCAGTAGCGAGCCTGAAGTCCGAGGTCGAATCGCGGCCTTGCAGCGCGATGGAGTAGCTTTGGAAACTTTGCGCTTTGAAGAGTGCGCTGGCGTTCCTCTGGAGGAACTTGCTCTCCTGCGCGCGTCGGCAGGTCTCGTTGTCGAGTGCGAGAACAACGAAGAGTGAGCTACCAAAGCTCTATCTTATCCGGGTCTACACCAAGCACTATTCCGAGATGCATGCATCTTTGGATGCTCAGCCGTGAGAAGTCAGGCCGGACATCCCTACTTACTGCCTATCAATGCACCATGTACACACTCAAACACGTCCATCAAGTAGCTGTTATAGATGTCCGTATATGTTCGCAAGGACTGCGTCAGTCGCCTTCGAAGCAAAGAAGCTGAAAACGGAAAGCATCGCGAGGGCAATAAAGGCTGCTTTTGCGGTGGTATCGGCGGACTAGAGAGAGCGCGCAGTGCTATGTAGGGCCCGATGAGAAAGAGAAGCAAGCGGCGCTAAAATGCGGCGTGGGCGCGCCGCCGCATCCTGATCCTGAACCGCCACCAGCGCTCGTCGCTGCCCTGTCCCTCTTCCATACTATCTCGCGATGACACAGTCAAAGGACGTGAATGAGCGAACTGGAGCGCTCAACGAAGATTGCCCCGTCCTCAAACTGCCGAACGAGCTTCTGGGTCACGTCGTGGAGGAGTTGCCAGCCCCGGTGTTCCATGGCTCCCACTTCGATGAAGAGTCGTACCCCGCCTTTGCACTCTCGCATACGTGCAAATTGTGGCGGGAGGTCGTGATGTCCTATCCACGATGCTGGCGCTGGATCCCGTGCGCCAACTCGCGCTGGCTGACCGAAGGATTACGTCGCTCGCAGGGCGCGCTTTTACGCCTCCACATCGACGTCGAATACCACGTAGACTCCCTGAAGTCAAATCTCGCCCTATTGGCCGAGCATACTTCGAGAGTCGAGTCGGTGACTGTCGGTGACCACCCTTACGGTACACGCCCGCTAGCACGGAAACGGGCTACCTTTCGGTCCAGCAGCATCTCAGCGATATTGACGTTGCTCAGGTACCACGATTTCGCGACAATGAGAGAGCTTATCATGTATCAATGGAGGTTCGAACCCGAGGTCACGACGTTACCCACCCTGTTTTTGGATAAGACCCCTCCTTTCTTGACACATATCGTTGTCTCTTGTGCCAGTCTGAGGCCTGGCCGCCGGCCGTTTCTGTCGTCATCCCTCACGCATTTCGAGATCGTCAGGGGCTCGTTGGGAACAGATGTGGATGATTTGATTGAGATACTCAAAGCCATGCCACTTTTGGAGGTGTTCATCGCCCGCGAGCGCGATCGCCTGACCGGCACGTCATTGCATCGGCAGACCGTCCAACGCACGCACAGCGTGCCTCTACGCCATCTAAGGCAGATGACCTGCGATGGCCCTTTTGAGGACGGCCTGATAGCACTAGGCTTGCTATCGCTGCCTCTGACTTGCTCGATCAATATATCGAACCGACCCCCGCACTGGGGCAAACCCTTCGTACGGTATCCGACCAACTGGTCTACCGCGTTCGATGCCCTGTCGGACCATCTCTCAACTGTGCCTGCAACCGCGATGTCCCATCCCGCCTCCCGTATCGACATATGTCAGCCTCAGGATGGCGATACGCCGTCAGTTGAAGCCTCACTAGAGATACTCTACGTGCTCGAAACGGCCAACCCCGAGCCTGTATCAATCCAAGTCACCTGGTATGCCGAAAAGGGCTCGAGGGATACCACACATCCATCCTTCACTTCCGCGCTCGCTCCGCACCTCTTCGATGCCGCGCACACACTTCGCGTGGAGTCTTCTTCAAGTTCGGCCTGATTACCTACGCATCGAGTATTGAATCAGCCTTCGTTTGGTAGACCAAATTAAGGACTTGCATATAATTTAAACTAGATACTGGGCGAGAAGCATGATGAGTGATTGTATCTGATGAGCCCAATGTATATGTCAATATTGCTCTCATTTACGTCGCACAATGATAGGAGAAATAAATATTAGACATAGGCAACCTTTACCCACATAAATACATGGGCAAGTGACGCAGTGGTAGCGTGTTCGCTTTGCATTCTAAGCTTGCGAGAAGCCCTGGGTTCAATCCCCAGCTTGTCCATAAGCAATTAATATATTTTCTTGCTCGGCTCTCTGCGCTGATGACCCGTTCTGATCATTCACTAACACTGCTGACTACGGCACAGAGCTAGATAGCAGATCTCTAATATTAGAAATTACAGTGGTGAGTTGTGGGACATCAGCAAGAGATCAGTGTAAAACTGTGCGGGATTAGCCAATTATATCCTCGGAACACCAACTCGGGGCTTTGTTCTCTTTATTCAACTTATACTATGGCATCCATTGTACATTACTGCCCTTGCATACTGGCGCGTGTTCCCCTTTGTATCCTTTAGACAATCGGAGCATATAGAGCCACCAGCCTGCCTCTCAGACGAAGCACACCATCCACGATCCTTCACCAACCACTGTGACAGGCGCTGAGACCATTATCGAGACCTCGCACTGTCCTCGGATAGGCCAGTGCATCCGTGAACTACAACAGAATTTGCCATACCTACAGTCTCCCAGCTCTAACATCTTGACGAGGAACACCAGATGCCCGTCCAGTTCTTCATCGCACTTTACCGCCCTAGCCACTGGGTCCTCCTCGCGACCGACAACGGCATCCCATCGCTCTCCGAGCCCATCCGATGCTTCGGAATAGAGCAGACGGACGAAGACGAGCCGGACGACGACGCGTGGCGCAACGTCGCCTTCGGCCCCATTCTGAACGGCTGGAAACGATCATACTATGAAACTCGCGCCGGGCTCATGGGCCCCAACTTCAGCGGTCTGCTCGTGTTCCCGCCCTGCGCGCACGAGTCCGTGACGCTTGCGCACGTGCACAATGCACTGGACAGGCTCCCCGTCATGCCGTTCTCGGTCTCCACGAACCCGATGAGGAGGTATCAGTGGTCGTGCAAGCGGTGGATCGTTGATGCTTTGCTCAGGCATGGTCCAGGTTTCGGGATGACGTTTGAGAAGAGGATGTGTGAGGAGAGTTGGGTGGGGATGGTGTGGGGGACGGTGTTGTATCATGAGATCTGTGAGACGGCTGGCAGGCTTGAGCGGGACGGGAAGATGGAGAAAGCGCGGGACGGGAGTTTGGTTAAGTGCGTGAGGTTCCCGGATGAGTATTTCAGAAGTTCTTGATGGGCTGAGGGTTCGGCTATCCTCGCATGTCGTGACTTGTTACATGTACCATATTACCTACCAGATAAGTCCATGCTGCTTCACCGCTTGTGTGTCAAGAATCACTCATAGAGGATGAAGAGAAGAGGTCCTTCATTTGGAGTTCAGTAGTGAGTCTAACGTAGGCCATCCGCAAGATACCAAGTCCATTACTAGACAGAGAGTCATTAGATTGTAGGCTTGAAGTTCGCTCCTTCGACTGGGGCCTCGGCCTCGGCCGTTTCAACCGCGGGGTGCTCCGGAGGAGCTGCAACGGCAGGCGCCTCGGGCTCTGCAGCGGGTGGCTTGGGAGCCTCTGTAGCGGCAGCGGTGGACGACGTCTCGAAAAGCTTGCCGACGGCAATCTTGGACGCTTCGTGCACCTCGTCGACGGTGACAGACGAGTCGATCTTGACAGACAAACATTAGCATAAGGTACCGAGGCTGAAGAAGCACACGAAGGCCGTACCTTCGCGACCTTGCCGATCTTCTCGTAGTGCTCAATGACGGGCATAGTCTGGTCCCGGTACGTGATAAACCGCTTCTTGATGCTCTCAATATTATCGTCCGCCCGTCCACTCGTCTCGCCGCGCTTCAACAACCTCTGCTGCATAACCTCCTCCGTCGTCTCATAGAACAGCGTCAAACTGCTCTCGCAAACGCTCTGCTCGAACTTCTCCGCCTGGTCCATCTTCCTCGGGAACCCGTCGATCAAGAAGCGGCCTTTGCCGTTCTCCCAGCCGGAGGTGCCGGAGCGAGAAGAGAGGGCATCGGTCATGGCGTTGGAGAGCAATGCGACGGTGACTTCCATGGGCACGATGGAGCCCTCGCGAATGCAATTCTTGATGAGCTCGCCGTATTCGGATCCGGCGCGGTCTTGTTCGGCGCGGAGGAGGTCGCCGGCCGAGAGATGGCAGAAGCCGAAGTCTTGGACCAGGAAGGCGCATTGGGTACCCTTGCCTGCATGTCATTTAGCATAGGAATACAAAAATATGTAATGGACGGGCATTACCTGCACCGGGCCCGCCGAGTACAAACACGACAGTGACATCCTCGCGCTTGAACTTGGGCGCTTCGGTGGCGAGCTCGGGCGCAGCAGCAGCAGCAGCGGGCGCCTCCTTCTTGGCCTCCTCCTTCTTAACCTCCTTAGCCTCCTCTTTCTTCTCTTCTTTGTGCTCCTTGTGCTCCTTCTTATCCAAATGCAGCGCGTGCTTAAACTTGTCGATGATAGTCGGGGCCATACTGATCAGATACGTCTAGGTGTGGGCGGAGGGTCAAGTTCGTCTGCGTGGCGGGGCGGGACGAGGGGATGATCAGACTGTCGCGGGCGCGAAGAAGCGGGCGTCGTCTGTGCGCGGCGGCGGGAGGTGAAGTAGAAGGTGGTAGTAGCGGCTGCGGCGACTGCGACGAAGAGGAGAGGGTTGGGCAACTTGCCGGCCATGAGCGTAGCGCGAGGATCCTGATTCGCGTGACGTCGCGCGTGAGTTTCGGTTCGAACGTTGGTCCATCTTGGTCCAGACGCGTCTTGCCTCTGTCTCGACCCACAGCCTACTTATACATGGATCTACGTGAAGAGTTACCATCTGCTATACTCGTAGTAGAGGCCGCGCACAATGCCGATGCGCTGGATATACTCGCAGTCGGCACCTCAGACGCTGTCTACGTGATCCAAGCTACACCCAACCACCTCAACCGTCTCGCCACATTCCACCTCGGCGCACAAGTCTGCGCCATCGCCTTCTCACCCCGCACTGTCTCGCCTTCTGTATCCTCCGAACCTATACTTGAGCTCGTATGCGCCACAAGCGACTTTGGGCTGCACGTCCTGTCTAAAGAAGGCTCTGAAGAGTCGATTTTCGACTTTGGGGGTGGATTGACGGGTCACCATGCGGCTATATCTGCTTTGACTTTCTGTGGAGGTGCTGGAAGCTATGTTGCGAGTGCGAGCGCGGATCATATGCTTATTATCTGGGATCTGAGTCCGCAACTGGATATACCGTCTACGTTCTCTACCTCGCCTTCGCCCGGCCCAATGCGTAAACAGCCTACAGCCTACCGTACGTCCACCCCATACTCTCAGCAAGCATGTATGCTAACGAAGATACGGCAGCCATACCCTTCCCACACCCCCTCACATCTCTCTCAGCACACCCCCGCTCAGACAAAGACCTCCTAATATCCGACGCCCGCGGGACCCTCTACCTCCTCGACTGGCGCTCCGAACGCGGCGCAACCGACACCATCCTCTCCCGCCGCGCCACCCTCTCCCTAACACACCCCCGCGCCCTCGCGTCCCCCGACGCCCACTCCGCCGGCGGCAGCGCAGCCTGGGCGCGCGACAACATGGACCTCATTACCGCGGCGTATGGCGGGAGCTTTGCGGTGTGGGATGTGAGGGAGCTGAAGGGCGGAAGACCGGTCTGGGTGGGCGAGGGGTGTAAAGGCGGTGTGAGGAGGATCCGGTTCGCGAGTGGCGCGATACCATTCATCGCACTCGTACCGCTGCGTACACCCGCGGAGCTGCATATACATAGCGCTGCGTTCCCCGGCGCTGCACCTGCTGTGCTCACGCTCGGACGCGCGCCTTTACGGGTGGCAGACTTTGATTTTGTCGATGAGGTGAGGGCACTGTTTGTGTGTTTTAACGATGAGAGTGCTGACTGGCGCTTGCTTGTAGATGCGCGCGGATGCAGATATGGCAGATGGTGAAGAGAGGAGAAGTGTGGATGTTGCGAGTGGGCGCGGCCCGAGGGTTGCTGCGGCTGTCGGGAGGAGTCTGCTTGTATTTTGGGTGGGAGAGGAGTGATGGCATATTTTCCTTCTTGTTTACAGGTACTTAGTACTAAGATTGATACTGAGCTCTTGATTGTATTTGGCCATTGTCAAACGTTGATACCGGACTCTTTAGCTCAGTGGTTAGAGCATGCGATTGCAGATCGCAGGGTCTCGTGTTCAAATCACGAAAGGGTCTTCTACATATACGTGAGGTTCACTTTTTCCCTCTTTTGAATAGGCCATGTATGAATCAGAGTTATATATACATTGCGCCTAAGACGTGTTATACTATATCGTATCATTACACTCCGGTCCACACGAGCGTCCGCTTCAGCTCAAACTCCCCCTCCAACGGCAACTCATAACTACTCCTCCCAACATGCACCCCATACGTTCCCTTCCTCGCCTCCCAACGTCCCCTCTTCTCCTCCCAAAACGCACACGCCAACCTCTCAAGCCTCACAACAGCCACCCTCGACTCTCCGGGCTTCAGATCGCGCACTTTAGCAAAGCCGCGCAGTAGGAGTCTGGGCGTGGTGACGCCGACGTCGGGTAGAGAGATGTAGACTTGGACTACTTCTGAGCCAAGGAGGGAGCCGGTGTTCTTGACGGTTGCAGAGACTGAGACTGAGAGGTCGTCGTCTGTAAGTGTTGGTTCGGAGATCTTGAGGTCGGAGATGGTGAAGGTGGTATACGATAACCCATGCCTATGGTGTCATCAGCGCCTACATACATGAGACCCAAGAAGAACACGCACCCGAACGGGAATAAAGGTGCAACGCCCTTCACCTGATACCCCTTATACCCAACGAACAAGTCCTCACGATAATGTATCTTCCCATTCTCACTCCGCACATTCGGCCACGACGGGATGTCCGCCTCAGTGACGGGGAAGCTGATAGGAAGTTTTCCAGAAGGGTTGATCTTGCCGAAGAGCACGTCCGCAAGCGCGTTGCCCAGTTCATTGCCTTGGTACCATGCTTGCACTATAGCTGCTACGTCGTGGACCCATGGCATTGACGTTGCCGATCCCTACGTATGGAGATCGATTTAGAACGAGCTCCACGGCAGAGTCAGTTGTCGAAGACTTACGCATTGCACCGCAACGACTGTACGACTATTGGCCCTCGCGATCCTACTGATCAGCTCATCCTGCAGCCCGGGAAGCTTGAGCGAAGAACGATCGTATCCTTCGCTCTCCCATTCAGGTGACAAGCCCGCGACGACGACGACGGCGTCTGCTTGAGAAGCCGCTTTGACGGCATCTTCTATGGCTTGTTGCGCGTCGATCTTCATCGCGCCTCCTAGACGCTGTATAAGGCAGAGTTGTGATCAGCGTGAACGAAACAAGGAACGGTATAGGATGACTCACGACACCGAGCATGAGACCGGGTTGAGAGACGTCTGTCTGGGCCAGATCGGGCGAGGGCGTGTTCGTGTACTCGACGTGGATGTCCAAAGGTTTGCCTGCCTCAACATCGATGACCGCCTTCTCCTCCACAGTTCCCTGCCTGACGTACCATCAGTATCGGTAGATCGAGAGTGTTTCAAGATAGCTCACCCGTAGAAGAAATCGCCCGGCCTCTGCTGCGTCCAGTTATCAACCGTCAACCTCCCATCAACGAACAACTTCGCCCTCCCCGCAACCGCCACTCCCAACTCGAACGGCCCAGACTCCTCAGTCGTGAGCTTGCCCTTGATCTCCAAACTCCACGTCGGCGTGATGCCCTTCGGCAAGAAGTCGTTGACCTTGACGCGCGTATCATCGAGAACGTAGCTGCCCAAGTCCTTATCCTTCTCCCCGTTCTCATCGTGGCTGAAGAACGTTACGACCCATCCCTTCTCGCCGTTCGCCGTGCGCATGTTCTGTTCGAGCTGGGGAAGGTACTTGTGCGCGTAACATCCCAATGTGTATTGAATCTCAACACCCTCCGGTGCGGCCGCGACGATCCCCTCGTACGGCGTAACGACATACGTCGGCTTAAGCTGTGCGCTTCCTCCACCGCTGTACACCCTCGCCTTCGCATTAGGCCCTACAACAAGCACCCTCTTCGCCTTCCCGTCCAACGGCAATGCCTCCTTATCATTCTTCAATAACACGATGCCCTCCCCCGCCACCTTCCTCGCGAACGCCCTGAGCTCAGGCGAATCGCGCGACCTCTCCACCCCATCGCCATATACGACGTCTGGACTGATGCGCGCCATCTTCTGCACGAACCGCAGCATCGTCTCCGCGCGTGCATTGAGGTGCGACGGGAGGACTTTTTGGCATGAGAGGCTGTGGTAGACGAGGATCGGCGTGCGCCAGCGTGGCGGGCCCGGCATCTCAAGGTCGAGGCCAGCGACGAGAGCTTCGGCCGTTCCATACGTCCCGTACCAGTCGCTCATAATAATAGCATCGTCCGGCAGCCCCCATTCGTTCCGTAGTATATCTTGTAAGATCGCCGGGTTCTCGGAGACGTGCACGTTGTCGAGCCGGCCGTATGAGGTCATGAATGCCCAGGGCTTCGCGAGCTTTTGTGCGAGCATGAAGCTATAATCATGCATTGTACCCGTCAGCGATGAAGTGGAAGTGAGGGGTTTGGGCTAAGGGACGTACGGGTAAAGGTATATCTCGCGTAATGCGCGCATTGACACGACTGAATCTGCTGCCGTGCGCTCGTCTTCTTGATCATTGCCTGAGACGAATGATTGATCAATCTTCCCTTCATCCTGGTGAAAAGTAGTCTTCGTACCGACAAAGTGCTTTATCGTAGCAGCAACCCCACGCGACTGCAACCCATTCACATACGCCGCCACCATAGTGCCCGACAAATGCGGGTCCTCCGAGAACGACTCGAACGCGCGTCCGCCGAGCGGGTTGCGCTGGATGTTGCACGTCGGAGCGAGGAGGATGACGGAGGACTTGATCTTGGTTTCTTCGGCGAGGAACTCGCCGGCTTGGTGGATCATGTCGGGGTCGAAGGTTGCTGCTAGGGAGGTCGCGCACTATAGTTCAGTGAGTATCGAGGTCAGCAGGGGTAACGTGAGAAGGATGCGTACGGGAAGACATTGTGCGGGCGTGGCCTGGAAGTGAGACGAGCCGCGTACACCCTGCGCCACAGCTCATCGTCAGCTCACTGGCTACTACTCTCATTGCGTGGACAGGCGACGTACATTTGGTCCATCACTCATGCGCACACCAGGAACATTGAGCCGAGGGATCGCAAGCGTGTTCCACCAGTTGACGCCCGCGAGCAAGAGCGCGCGCTCGTCCGCCTTGAGCTTGCTGACAATCTCGGGAATATCCGCCTCGAGAAACGAGCGGTCCATTTGCTGATTGCTGTACTGCGCCATATTTGCGACGTCCCTCAAGCAAGTCCAAGGCAGCCGTGGTAGATATCAAATCGAGAGGGCTGACTCGTGCGAGCTCGTGCCGTTTATATGCGCACGGGGGAGCGGGAAAACGTCGGAGAGACTGGTATAGCCGTGCGACGTGCAGGGTGCGGCTGTAAATGGATTTAAGCATGAGCGAAGTGAACGCGCCCTGCTGTAGAGCTAGAATTAGCAGAGTGGGTGAGTGTCGTGCCTTCAGACGACGGTCCGAATAGACGGAAGGAGGCAGTATAGAGGCAAAGAGGTTTAGAGGGCCTTCGGTTCGTAAGGCTGGCAGCTGGCTTCCGAGGTTGGGAGAGCGATGGGAACCCATGACTGTCCCTGGCCTCCATCGTACCCCGCCGAGCGCTCATTCCGTCCACGGAGAAGCGCCCTAGTTCCTTGGCCTACGTTTGAGCCATGTCCGTACGAACACAGATGGGGACGTTCGGAAGTCGCGGTCTTCCGCATAACTTCTTGCACGGCCGGGCATGAGAGAACGGGTCCAATACGTTCACAGCGCACAGCGCAAGTCGTTCAGAGAGTTGAGGTAGAGTATGCGTACAGCAATCTTGTATGTAGCCTAAGCCGGACACCATGGTGGTCATCCGCAACCTGCATCGGACTTCGGATGCGCACGTGTCCGAATCTCCTTCCGCTCTCGCCACCCACTCTCCCACCCTCCATGTTCTCCCTCCTTCGCTCATCTCTCCTCTCCACTGCTAAGCTATCCAGAACCATGTCTACTACATCTGCTCCAGAGTTGAAATCCTTCACTTTGTCCATGATCCAGCTCGGACAGATCGGCGCCGACAAGAGCGCCAACTTGGCTCATGCGAAGGATATGATTGCGCGGGCGGCTAAGGGAGAGGGAAGTGGTGCGGAGGGCAAGCCTGATTTGATCGTTCTACCCGTATGCAACTGCACTATCCAGCCCATCGTATATTGTGCTCAACGCAATGACAGGAATGCTTCAACTCTCCCTACGGCGCGCAGCACTTCCCTCAATACGCCGAAGAGATCGGCTTCACTGGCGCCGGGTACGACACGTCCAAGACGAAGAGCGAGAGCGTGCGCGTGCTCAGTGAGGCGGCGAAGGCTGCTGGTGTATGGCTGCTCGGCGGTGCGCTGTGCGGAAAGTTGACGCGCTCGCGTGACTGACGCGGTATGTGGTTGACAGGCTCGATCCCGGAACGCGACGCGTCGGATAACCTGTATAATACTGCAATGGTTTATTCGCCTCAAGGTATGCGAGACAGTTAAGAGTGCGGATAGGATACTAAATCTTCTCAGGCGAGCTCGTGAGGATACACCGCAAGGTACACCTATTCGACATCGACATCCCGGGAAAGATCACCTTCAAGGCGCGTTGAAGAGCTACAACGAGACATTTCGAAGCTCACACCTCCCTAGGAGAGTGAAACGCTTACTGGTGGCAAAGAGACCAACTACTTCGATACAGGTATGCATGCCTATGATGGGGCACAGTCGCCGTACTAATACCTGATCCAGAGTTTGCTCGTATCGGCCTGGGCATCTGCTACGACGTGCGGTTCCCCGAACTCACTATGATTGCTGCGCGTCAAGGTACAGCACTCTCTGTCTTCTTGGGAAGAACGCATGTACTGAGAGCTTGCGTAGGTGCTCAAGTATGCATCTACCCCGGCGCCTTCAACACGACCACCGGTCCATTACACTGGGAGCTCCTCCAACGCGGACGAGCCGTCGACAATCAGATCTTTTTCGGAATGTGCAGTCCCGCACGAGATCTGAGCGCCGGCTACCACGCCTGGGGCCACTCGATGATCGTCGACCCTATGTATGTCTCCTCCATCCCACACTGATACGCTTGTTCATCGATGTCGCCGTAGGGGTACGATCTTGACAGAGGCAGATGAGAACGAGTCCATTATCAAAGCAAGGATCGGTAAGAGAGTTTCCTGGCCGGGTATGACGAAGCCATTGACGAACTTTCTCTGCGCCCAGATCCCGAAGTGTTCAAGTCTGCGCGCGCCGGTATTCCCGTGACGACGCAGCGGCGGTTTGACGTGTATCCGGACGTGAGCAAATAGTAGCACGATCACAGATGTACCTGTACTTGTCTCTCTACTCGAACTGCTGTAGCTGTACGACTATGTGTGATGCGAGTACATCGGAATGACACACTTAGACGCCGACGCGCGTGGAAAGATTCCACGACGTTCTCCGTTCGATCGCCTTCTTCAGACTTCGAGCATCCGCTTACCGCGCCTCGCCACCGCTCTTAGGCAGCCACACCTCCTCCTGCTCTTTCACGATCATCTCTCCCTTCCTCTTACATTCTCTTCATACTCCCTCTCACGCCCTTGCTCGATAAAACTACACTATGGTCAAGGAGAGGTATGCACAACAAAATGCCGTGCGAGATGATCGCGGGTTTCTGAACTTTATACGCGCGTGGCGTATAGGAAATTCTACGATCTGCTCGGCGTTCCCGAGACAGCCTCAGAGAGCGAGCTGAAAAAGGCATACAGGCAAAAGTGCGCTCTCGCCACCGTTGTCTATCACGATCTACCCTGCTGACTGATCACCAGAGCCTTGCGTTTACATCCAGACAAGGGTGGTGACCCCGAGCTTTTCAAGGAGGTCACCCATGCGTGCGTATATTTATCACGCCAAACAATGATATACTAACTGCCAGATAGATACCAGATCCTGTCGGACGCGGACAAGCGGAGGATCTACGACCAGCGGGGCGAGGCTGGCTTGTCAGAGAGCGGTGGCATGGGCGGCATGGACCCCCAGGTGCGTACTCGGGCGCTTATTCCTGTACACGCAAGCGCACCGCCTCACACCACGTTTCCCATCTCCACAGGACCTCTTCTCGCAACTATTCGGCGGCGGCGGCGGCGGCTTCTTCGGTGGCGGCGGGCGGGAGCGCGGGCCGCGCAAGACGAAGGACCTCGTACACCGCATCCACGTCTCGCTCGAGGACCTCTACAAGGGCAAGACGACCAAACTCGCTCTCACCCGCAACGTGCTCTGCCCCAAGTGTGACGGCCGCGGTGGCAAGGAGGGCGCCGTCAAGCAGTGCACGACGTGCCATGGCCGCGGCGTGCGCATCCAGCTCAGGCAGATGGGCCCGATGATCCAGCAGATGCAGATGGCGTGCGAGGACTGTTCGGGCTTGGGCGAGATCATCAATCGCAAAGACCAGTGCAAGAACTGTTCGGGACGCAAGACCGTCTCGGAGAAGAAGTTCCTCGAGGTCCATATCGATCGTGGCATGCAGAACGGCCAGACTATCACTTTTGCTGGAGAGAGCGATCAGGCGCCTGGTGTCGAGCCAGGAGACGTCGTCATTGTCATCGAGGAGAAGCCACACGAGAAGTTCCGCCGTCAACGCACGAATCTCGAGACGGATGTGGAGATCGACCTTTTGACTGCGCTTGGCGGCGGCCAGTTCGCGATCAAGCACCTCGACGATCGCGCATTGGTAGTGACCATTCACCCCGGCGAAGTGATCAAGCAGGGTATGTGTCTCCTGACTCGCATCTATATACGCTGCTTACTGAGTACCCGTCCAGACTCGATCAAGGTCATTCCCGGTCAAGGCATGCCCTCCCAACGACACCACGAACCGGGCGATCTTTATATCAAGATCAACATTCTATGGCCCGAGAGCATCGACCCGTCCAAGATCGGTCTTCTCGAGCAAGTCCTGCCCCCACGAAAGGGCTTGCCGGCGTTTGGCAAGGGCGTGCTGCTCGAGGACGTCGACATGCACGAGATGGACGCAAGGCAGCGCGCAGCGGCCATGGGCAACGATGAGGCTATGGACGAGGATGAGGGCGAGCCGCGCGTGCAGTGCGCGAACCAGTAGTCACTGTAGATCACCACTTGCTGTTTGTATGATGTGAGGACGCTTGCGAGTTGTTGCTCTTCTTTGCGTTGTATTTTGTTACTTGCCCGGCCATTGTACACACCCCCTGCACGTCGCACGCTTTCGGGCTTTCGGTCTTAGAATATAATCGCCGTTTCTGAATCTCAGTTCTTGGAGGAAATGACGCGCATTATGCGATGGTGATACATTAGTGTTACAAAGCAAGATCGACGATTGTACTAGAAAGCCGCGGAAACCCAGATTGACTGCAAGAGGAAAATGAAGATCGATGAAGCAAGACTCAAGGAACCCGAGGAAAACATGAACCGACATCCGATCGCAAACAGTACGTGCGGGACGTAAGGCTACCACTTCGTCTGTACAAGGAGTCAGAGAGCGATAAACGACGTCGACCACATAGGCTACGAACCTCCGGGTTCTTCTTGAACGCCTCGTACAGCTCGCGATTGAAGAAGCTGACCTCCGTCTCGTTCTCTGCGACTCAGTCAGCTACGGATACGTGCCGCATACGGGAGCCAGACATACCAAAGCCGATGTCAGCCAAGATCTTCGAGTCGTCTTCCAATATCCACTCGTCATGGTCCAAGTTTATGATAAGATTTGTCGTCTGCGCATGCGTTTGAGCAAAAGCGAACCATGTAGATGGAGAGCAGGCGTACCTTGGCACCGTGTGCTTTCGTGTATAGCTTCAACGTATCTATGGTAGCATCAGTACATATACAAGCGAGATCCTATGGAGCAGCATACCGAGAGTCGCATTCCTATACGGCTTCCACCCCGCCTGCGTCTGAATCGCTATCCCGACCAACCATCAGCCTTCATCCCACTTCAGCACCCAATCAATCCTCACGCACCTTGTCTTGCGCGCTCCTTCAACCCTCCAACCGTCTCCGTCTCAAGGTTGACATCATGTAGAACGAGGGACTTCTCCGTCCTGAACTCGAAGGATTTGATCACGCGCAGCGTCAGTGTCGCTGCTGTGCGCGGTTTGGCCAGGTTCGTGGGTGTGTCGTCGAAGTCGGTGTAGATTGCTTGAGACATCTCTGAGAGTGAGGTAGATGAATATGAGCTTATGTAGAGGTGGGGGTGAGGGGGAGGTGGTAGAAGTATTGAGCGAGAGTTGGTGTGAGGAAGGAGGTGGAAGGAGGAAAGACGCGTCGGATCTGGGCCTGGCGCGGCCGCGAAGGTCACTTGATCGCGCTTTGCTCTTCGACCACCATCTAGCAGACTCCATCGCGAGAAAGTACGGACTGAACTTCGGATGCACATTGATAGCAAGAAATGATAGCGACGATACAGCAAGGCAAAGCTACTAAGAACAAGGGTAGGGTTGAATGTACGAGACGGGACTGGGCTAGGGCTACAATGAGGATGGAACGAGGCTGTAGAAGAGATCGTGTGGATGTTCGGGCTCATACATGGCTAGACGGATCAATAGGATTTGCGTGGTACCTAGTTGACAATGAGATCTGCTCTAGTCAAATCGTGAATGCGACTTACGTCGGGGTCGACGACCCGGAGGAAGCCGTGACGTTTTCGTGGCCATCGTAGCTAGGAGCTGGTGTCTTGTGAGAGTCAATGCTTGTCCTGTATCTGACGATGAAGTCAGTTGAGCTTTTTGACAAACAGTCCGTTGCGCTTAGTAGGCACTCACGATGGAAGTGTGGAGACGTCACTATGCTCTGACGCATCCCAGCTGGCTCGTGGGTGCTGTAGCGGGACAGGCCCAGCCTCTGCGTCCCTCCGAACGGCACTCGCAACGTCGACGATAACCGTGACCTGTGTGCTGAGTTCCAGAGATTAGCTATTAGAGTCAGAAGCCTTGACAGCGGTCTCAATCAGCTCACCCAATACCGCCAGTCTGCGTTCTCTGCGTGCGCCGACCAAATGCCATAGAAGAAAGCATCGGCCGTTCCGTCACCCGTTGCGCCAGATCATATCCAGTCACCCGTGCGATAGCGCACACGATCCGCCAATAAGACGCCCTCGCCGCTTTCGTAAGCCCAAACAGCGCAAACAACGCAAAAGCCAGCACGATGCTGGTCCACGCGCTATAATTGACGGTGTACGTCGAGAACCTGCTTGCCCATAGCTCTTGCAGGGAAACCGAGTAAGGCTCCCATCGGCTATGCACGCCCTCCCAGCCGCCATACCATCTTGAGCCCGAGCCTTCTTTTCGCGGACCGAGCGCAACACTGATGCACATGTCGACGGTGACGAGTATGCCCTGAGGAAGCGTGATGAAGATGTCGAGGCTCCCGATGGCCAAGACGCGGAAGAAGCGGCTGCGGGAGACGTGCCCGTTTGTGTTGAGGAAGCGGTTGACGCTCTTGTTGTGTTTGTAGAATGTCCAGAAGATGCGGGCTGTTCATGCGCAATCAGAGATCGAAGACGCTTCGAAGTGAGAAGGGCTTACGACAGTATACTGAGATAGAGTACAGAGGGAAGAACAGCCTGCATAGCTGAATCAGTATGATAGCCAAGAAGGACCCGTCGAGGTTGTTCGTGCAACCGTAGCCCTCGATGACTACGAAGCGGACTCCTTGCACGACGTAATCTGATCTGTATCAGAAGAGGTTGCGTACACAACTACAAGCCTAGACTCTTACATATCGGTCCAGCTATAATCGCAGGAATGAATAACAGGATCGTCAGATCGAACCACAAGTCGAATCGTTTCTGCGCGAACCTTGGGTCAGAACCCAAACACCCGATTACGACTTCCTGCTCACCTGTCCGTCCGTCGATCTCAAGCCCTCCATAGAGGCGACCTTGTGAAGCTTGCGCGTGATGACCAGCGTACACGCGGGCTTCACGACTCCTGTGAACATCTGCCAACGGCTAACTAGCATTCTCTCTCAGCACTCGCGCATCCAGACTGACCGCAAACCAGGACTCACTGAAGTCACAGAACGTATACAGCTTCACATCTGCGTTATCCTTCCACATGACGGTCTCGATAGCCCCACAGAAGTTCTCGACGAAGACGCAGACGCAAAGCACGGTGAGCCCAAAGTTCCATGATCGGCGTTCGGCGCTACTGATGAGAACCAAGAGAAGAAGCGCGGACGAAACGAAAGCAGTTACAGGAATGATGGGATAACCAGGTACCATGGTCATCCACTAGTCATAGCTATAAATATAATCTAGCACCTACATACTTATACGCACATACAAGAGTCGTGTTTGTTCTCAATCGGGAATAAGGCACCACGCATGCTCCTGCTATGGCCATCGAGTACAATGTGGCAAGGCGACCCTGAGGAGCTTATCACATGGGCGCATACGATGGTCGCAGTCAGTCACAGAGTCTATACGACAGGCATGGGCGAGAGGGATTTCTTGACCCAGAGCGAAAGGAATGTCGGACTGTAGGCGAGTAGTCACCACGTACGTTTCTCTGGCACATCGTCCTCCAAGATGCACAGAGCGACGCTAGAATCAAGCGCTGCGTTGATCATGAGAGAGGTCTCGAGCGACACGATGAGATACTACATCGATGGTCGTGGTACGGTAGGCAGCAGACAGTCGGCGCGCGGGAGGCCGCGCGTGGCGGCGCGGCGGCTGCACGTGGTGATGGGTGTAGAGTCAGCGTTGTCGATGTTGCGCTTTGACTCCCGTCCACCATGTCGTCCCCACCAGACGAGAAGCCAACTATCTATGACCCTGATTATACGTCCTCATTGCCAGGCGAAGTACTCAGCCGCATATTTGCTCTCGTACAAACCATCATGCCTATCCCTCCCCCCTGGAAAAGGCCTACGGACGTCAAAGCTGGCAGCCACAGATCTGGCAAAGAGAGGCTAGCCGATATGGTTGCTCTCCGGCAGAAGGTGGACCAATACCGTTGCCAACGACTGGCCTGGATAGCAGCTATCACCCATGTGTGTGGGCGGTGGCGCGCCGTAGCCATAGCTGATTGCGGTCTATGGTCGTGCCCTTCTGTTCACCTCGGTTCCAAGGCCCTCGAGGAAACGCTACGTCGATGCCGGGATGCACCGCTCTCTATCGATGCAGAGCAGTGCGGTTATATTCGTCCATCATACCGGCCCGTTAACGAATTTGGATTGAAAATTGAACAGTCACCTTTCTTTGTGGATTTTCTTTCCAGTCACGTTCGGTGCATTCGCATCATCAAGATCAAGTGCGACACCCAAACCATATCTAGCATTCTCTTACGTGCATATGGGCGACTAGAAGAGATGGAGTGTTCTGTCGAACGCGATGACGACTTGGCGTACGATCGCAAAACCTTGGACTCTGGTGGGACGATACAGCTTTTTGACGGTAATGCGCCTCGCCTGCGCTCGTTGAAGCTCTCGCACTGGTGTTGGAGATATGATCAACTTCCCACAAACCCTTCCATGTGGAAGGGAATCACATATCTTCGACTGAATCTCAGAGGAAACCTCCTCTCTCGGGGCTCCGACTCGCCCATTCTCATTGCACTCGAGCGTGCACCGTACCTTCAAACTCTTCGCCTTGAGTTGCCTTGTGGATTCGATCATCGTCAAGAGGAACCCCCGCTAGATTGTCAACATTGTACGACAAACGATTTTGATCCGGTTATCCTCTCGAGAAGCTTAGAGCACTTTGGGCTACGCGGTTGCACGTCCACGATGGCACATTTCGTGACCCACATCCGCCTCCCAACCCATACCAAGATATACCTCGATTCTCTGAGCAGAGGAACATCCGATGAATCGGCTTTGTCCTATATCCGCAGAGGCATAGGATTTGATCGTATTCACGCTCCATCTGCCCACACTGTGGCGATCACTGGAGATCAACAGGGAGTCAGGCAATCGCGCTTGTATGTTTCAAGAACCAACACTACATCATTATACTTCCATCCGTGGCTCATGTCAAGCGACCCTGGTAACAAGGACCACGTGGAAACCATGGACATCGATCTCTCCCTGATTCTTGCTCACGAGAGTCTATCGAAGCTTGCACATTGCGTGACCGGCGCCAGAGCACTAACGCTTGCTCACGATGGACACGGTCTTGCCGAAAGGGAATATGTCACGCAGTTCACTCTGCTTCGGCACCTTACGCTATCGGGCGTGACGTTGGCGAGCATCACATCCCTACTAGAGCCTCAAAGCGACTCGTCTTCCGGCCTGCTATTTCCCTCGCTGCAATCCATCAGTATAGGGGGCTGCGTCGTATGGGACTTGATCTCGACGTCGCCCCAATCACCGGGGACCGGCGTTCTACGCTTGCGACGCGCGCTACAGTCTCGAGCCGGCCGCGGTTATCCCGTGAACCCCGTGCTCGTTCACATCAAGGAAGAACTTGAGTTCATCCAGCGTGAAGACTGGGAGCGCACGAGCTGCAGCAAGTATCTTCACAACGTTGGGACGATCGTACGCGAACGGCTGGAGGACTTACACGCTATCGAAGGGCTCAGAATCGTCCCGTATAAATCGGCATACATCTTGGATGATGATGGCCAGACAGGGAGGCTGGTGGAATGGTTTGTCTAACGTACTCAATCATTGTTGATCGATGACCAATCGGTCTGGTCCGTCCGCGCGTGATGGCTTTCTTGCTTACTATCCTAACTATGCATATAACATCATTGTATCCGATTGCCTGCATCTGCACCGATTCCACTAAGAAATATACTTACCACCATCCCCGTTGTACTGCATTGCTGCTGCTGAAGGGTGAACCAGAATGGAGTTTGTATGGCAAGGTGTGTGTGATTAGAGTGTCGGCGAAGTATAGTGTCGAGGGAGAGATGATAATGGGTTGTGAATAAAAGTACAATACGAAGTTTTCTACTAGGGCTACAAGTGCGGGATGATGCTGGGAATCTTGGCATACGTAGTGGGTATGGCGGTGTCCGATCAAGGGCGTGTGGGGGAAAGATGCACAGGAGAGGGAGGTTCAATTGGACTAGTATGATATCTAGCGTACAATGAGCCCATGATCTTGATATCAATACAAGAACGACGTACGAGGGTGTTAACGAGCTGAATGAAGACGTCAAGTCCCTGTGGGTAACAAGCTCGTAGCATGGACTGGGCGTTTTGCTCGAGTCATAACTCGACCTGTATCTATTGACGAATTTCAGTCAGCTGGGTCTAGCGTACAGAGTAAGAGTGACTGACGATGGTAGTGTCGAGGCGGTGTCACTATACTCGGACTCGTCCAAGCTAGCTCGGGAATGATGTGGCACGGAACGCCCAGCCTCAGCATCGCCGATCGGAGGATTCCTCCTCACAGCACTCGCAACATCAACGAAGATGGTAAACTGAGTACTAGTGAGAATGAGTCAGTGTGAGAGCGCGGTATGAGAGGGGATGGTGTAGCCGAGGCTCACCCTGCTCCGCTAGTTTCCGTCCTACGAGTGCGTCGCCCAAACACTATGGAGGAGAGCATCGGACGCTCGCTAGCTCGGGATGCCAGATCATACCCAAAGAGCTTTGCACCGCGACACGTCACGCGCCAGTACGACTCTCTTGCCGCCTTGGTCAGCCCGAACAACGCGAAGATGGCAAAAGCGAATAAGAGGCTCGTCCACACGTCGTAGTTGACGCTAGTCCTGACCGACCCAATCTCGGTTGACCAAAGGTACTCCAGGGTTATAGGCTTGGGATCCCAATTTGTGTGCACGAACTTCCAGCCGGGGTACCATATTGAGAGATGCTCCTTTTGGTCTTGCAAGAGGACGAGGACGGTATTGACGGTATTGACTATGCCCTGCGGTAGAGTGATAACGATGTCGAGACTCCCAATGGCCAAGACCCGCAGGAAGCGACTGCGCGAGACTTCCCCATTTGACGCCAGAAAACGGTTGACCGAGCGGTTTTGCTTCCAAAACGTCCAGAGTATGCGAGCTGGTACCGTGTCGTAAGTATATGCGTGTAGGATGGGAGGAGTGTGAGAACGCACGGCAGTAGACGCATACGGAATATAGAGGAAACAGAGTGCGCCATGATTGAACGGTGAGCAGTTCGAAGATGGTCGAGTTCATTGTGTTGGTACAGCCATATCCTTCGAAGACTATGAAGCGGTACCCTTGATGAATATAGTCTATTTCACGTCAGCTGAGTGTGCCAGAGTCATTATAGTCAAATCCTCACATATGGGGCCAGCCACCAACGCTGGTATCACAATCAGCAGTAGGACGTTGAACGCAACCTCGAATCGTTTCTATTACATTCGTCAGATGGAGGACTGAGAGCATGGAATGGGGCGTACCTGTCGCGCCGTCTTCTCCAAGCTCCGCATGCATGCGATGTTGTGCAAGCTGCGCGTGATGACGAGCGTGGCGGCAGGCTTGACAACGGATGTGAACATCTGCCAGTGCGAGACTGTCCACCGTCAACACTCCGCCTCAATATGCGCACAAGAGGAACAGCTCACTGAAGTCGCAGAACCCGTAATATCGAATCTCCGCATCGTTCCTCCAAATGATAGTTTCAATCGATCCGAAGAAGTTCTCAACGCAGATGCAGAAAGAGAGCACAGTGAGCCCGAAGTTCCACGATCGGCGCTCGATGCTCGTTAAGAGGACTAAAAGAAGGAGCGTGGATGAGATGAAGCCGAGAATAGGGATGGCGGGATACTCGGCTAGCATGACCGCTGCCGTGTCGAATGGGGATGCACATCGTGCCACTCCTATCCTTATAGACGCTGTTGAGCGTTGCCGTTGTTCCTAATCGGGAATAAGGCGCCCGCTTTATACCCCACAAGAGGCGTGTGCGACTGTTGCCGTGACGTCTCGCAGACAGAGCCAGTCTAGCCAGCCTAGACGTTGAGGAGTAGTGTTGGTACGATTGTACAGAACCGGCGTGTCATTGACCGTTGTGCAAGCGCTTCAGCAGCCGCGCGTCAACTGCTAAACCCGTCGGCAATCCAACTCGTGTGACCGTGCCACGAGGCGGTTTCTTCAGGTCGACGGAGGCCATAGACGAGTAGAATGTGATCACGATATTTTTTATGGTAGCAAGTAGATCTCGCAGGTAGGGATGTCTGCACCATGATGAAAGTTCGGGACGAGGGCGCAAAACGGTGTGCGGCGTCGCGTCACCGCGCCTCGGAGTTGCGGCCCAGGTGCCAATTGCAATATATGTGCTCTCTGGTTCGAACTCGACAAGTCCGCGTTCCGCGGAGCATACCTTGCTCTACAACTCAATCATGCCCGTTTGTACTATCGAGATGCGTTTGCGTGAAAATAGTGACATTGCGAGGTAGTACGGTACGTCAGACAAGTCCTGCCACCGTTCAAACCTCTTGTCGCAAAAATCCCATTCGGCTGAGCACCGCCGACGACCCGCTGACGACTGGATCAGCGGTGATCAGCCATGACCACCCGTGTGCGGAAAGGTGGCCAGCACTGAGCAGCGCTGATACTCATTGGTCACAAGTAACCAAAAAGAATATATAAAATGCATATCTGCTTCTCAGGGCAGCCACCCTGGCATGCTCGTTGACAATAGCTAACTCGCACGATAGTTACATTTCACCTCGCAGTCATATCCGTCGTAACTCAGGCATGGTTTGCGGCATATTGCATGTTCTACATACAGTACTCATAGTAGTACGTATGGCCTTTTCTAGGGCAGATTGTACTGCGCTGTCGGCGAGCGGGAAGCCAATGACCGCCCGCCAAGCAACCCGATGCTCCCGTCGTCACTGACGCATTCGGCAGAGATATAGCTATACGCGACATCCTTTAAGCCGCGTTGAACATATGAGGCAAGAAAGGTAGTGTATATAGGGGCTAACGGGTTGGCGATTTGTTGTCGACGCGGCGAGTGAGAGCGAGTCGGATGGCCGTGCGAAGCAAGTTGGTGCACGCTCCACACGGTGAATAAGACGACGCGCGCGCTCGCTTCAACCACCAAGTCGCCCTCGCCTTCCACCACCATGGCACACCGGTCGTAATACTCTCCCTCAGGACGCTCCCTTTTGTCTGACGCTACTCCTCGTACATTCTGCAACATCGTTCCCCCTTCCGCACTGACCGCCCCCTCGCGTGAAGCCAGCGGGCGCTCGCACCACCATTCGCCCACTCCCTTCGCAGTCCGCACATCGCGCGGCTTGTGGGCTCAGCATGTATTACAGCCCGTGCGCGCCGGCCCAGGTACTACCAGTCCACGATTGCTTTGTCTCTGAACTATCGAGTTGGAGTCGGAGGTCTTGTAGCAACGTGCGATTTCCTCGTTTGTCTTCTTGCATGCTCGTGTTGTACGTACGCCGCCGCGCCTTCTATGCACATTTTCTTGTACGCTTTTGTACCAGTACTGGTATCTGTTGTACACTACGTCGCTTCTGTTGTGTTATCCATGTACATACATATGTCTTAGACCCATAATCTATATCTTGCCCATACTCTTGTTGCGTGAATATCGAGGGAGAAAATTGAAGTACGAGGTATATAAGCAATAAATTCGATTTTTTGTCAACAGCGGTGATGGGCGTTGCCCAGCACTGCTCAGCACTGGGCACCGGTCATCGGGTGAGCAGCACTGAGCAGCACTGATTCCCGGGAATCATCCTTGTGTGGAGCTTACCACCCCCGGGCGGCTGATTACTGCTTATCAGCGCTGATCTGCGCTGGTCACCACCGATCACCCATCTGGGATTCTTGCGACACTCCGTCGACTTCCGCGTCGA